AATAGATGGAAAGAATATTTTCAGGAGCTTCTCAACTTTAATTCCCACATATTGCATCTCGATGAACACTCCCCTTATCAAAACCTTGTACAACCTATAACGGAACAAGAAATAATCACATGCCTCAAGCATATGAAAAACAACAAAGCTAGGGGTCCAGACGATATTCCAATAGAAAGCCTTAAAGCACTAGGAGATGATGGAATACATCTCCTCACAAATCTGTACAATAAAATACTTGGAAATGAAGAGGTTCCCCAAAAATGGAGGAAGAGCTATCTAGTTCCTATCTTCAAAAATAAAGGGGATCCACACAATTGTCAAAATTACAGGGGCATAAAACTAATGTCACACTGTCTAAAACTATACGAAAAAATAATAGAAAAAAGATTAAGAGATATAATCGAAATAGACACAGTTTGGCTTTATGCCTGGAAGATCAACAACCGATACTATCCATGCAATTAGGCAAATGAGTGAAAAATACAGAGAAAAGAACAAAAAGCTACACATGGTCTTTCTCGATCTAGAAAAGGCCTTCGATAGAATCCCAAGAAAACTTATCTGGTGGGCGCTACGCCACAAAAAAGTTCCCGAAAAATATATAAGAATAATACAGGATATGTATATGGGACATACAACAATGGTCCGTAGCACAACAGGTACTTCAGCAGGCTTCACAATAGCCGAAGGAGTTCATCAAGGGTTGGCTCTCAGCCCACTTCTCTTCATTACAGTAATAGATGTATTAGCACAGTCTATACCTCAAACAGTCCCGTGGAATATGATATTTGCAGATGATATTGTGATACTTGCCGAATCCAAGGATGAAATGAAAGAAAGGTTAGTGAAGTGGATAAATATCCTAGAAACGCACGGATTAAAAGTAAATAGAGAAAAGACGGAGTATATGGTGATAGGAGGAGATGAAACGGAGAGTATTGATATAAATGATTGGCAGATATCCGCAATTAAAAGCTGCAAATATTTGGGCTCCACTATACAAACAAACGGCACAATAGAAAAAGAGATAAAGAATAAGATTAATCAAGGGTGGTTAAAGTGGAGATCTTTATCTGGAGTGCTATTTGACAAAAGAATCCCACACAAATTAAAGGGAAAAATCTACAGTTCCATAGTACAACCAACTATTCTATATAGTTCGGAAACATGGCCAACCAAAGAATCAGACGAGAGAAGTCTACAAACTATGGAGATGAGAATGCTGAGGATGATTGCTGGGGTAACAAGAAAGGATAAGGTGCGCAGTACAAGAATACTAAATAGTTTAAAGGTAGTGCCCATTAAGACTAAGTTAATGGTAAACAGACTTAGGTGGTATGGGCACACAATGAGAAGGCCTATGAACTACATAGGAAATAAAGTTGAAAGTTTGGAAGTGATGGGCAAACGTAAAAGAGGAAGGCCAAAACTTCAATGGGGCCATAAAGTTAGAGCCAATATAAAGAAGTATAAAATAGATAAAAGAGATTGTATGAATAACATAAAGTGGAGAGAGATGTTGTAGGAGCTTACCACCAGAAAAGGTGAAAGCTAAAGAGAAAAAAAAAAAAATATCCCAGGAAAAATAAATTCTAGTATATAATTAGCCGGATAAAAAATCCTATCAAAATAATTAGCAGGAAATTTTCTTTGTAATTATTATAATTTTAAATATATATAATTCATTAAGAAAACACAACAGGAACTATAATCTTAAAATAGAAACGTATTTTATTTTAAAAATTTCTAACTCAGTAAATGTTATTACATTACATAATCTTAATTATTTCTTTTCTGTAAATTTTGAAAAAAAAAATCATAAGCAAAATAATTTAAAAAATAGAAACCTGATTAAATTGCAAATTTCCTATTTTGCCACAGAATTTATATATATAATTATATCATTTAATATGCCCCTTATTAGTTTAGGGTCGGGCCGTATTTTAATTTTTATAAATATACCCGGACCGTGAGGGTTCTGAAAAATTTTTATAAAAAAATCGCCGGGCCGTATATTTTAAAACCAAATATTTGAAATCGCCATTAGTTATAAAAATCAATAATATTTATAATCTATTTTTAAAAAAGTAGGGCCGCGAATATAATTTTAAAAAAGATGCGGGCCGGGCCGTGCATATGATATCTCTGCAAGTCAGAGATTCTCTGATATTAGTATTTATAGTTTTGCTCAAATAAGAATAAGTTCATTTTCAAGCATACCAAAATAAAATTATATTTTATAATTAACAAAAAAATAAAATACATAATTATACCTCAATTTCCTGCTGCGACTGTGAGGTCGATTGGAAATCTTCATCTTTAGAATTAGAAAGAGAAAAATCCATTTTTATATTTAAAAAAAATTATTTTTATTTAGTCTGTCGTTCCTCTCCTATTTTTTTAATAATAATTTTCTTATTTATTAACTTTCTCTTTATGTTTATTAATTATTTCCATTTATAATGGCATAAGCGAAGGCGGATTTATATAAAAATAATAATTAAAAAAATAAATAAATTAAATAATATAAATAAATAAAAAAATCTAAAAAAAGAATTTTAATTTTATAAAAGTAAAATCTTATTCAATTGATTTGAGTCTATAGACTAGTAAATTCCGACTGTTTTCTAAGTTTCTTTATCATGAATTAGAAACTTATATTATACAGAAGAATATTAGCGTCTTGTTTTTTATAAGAATTAAAAATAGAAATTATTTGACAATATGTAAAGACATCTAAAACAAAAATTTTATGCCAAATTTTTTTTAAAATATAGGGCTAGGGTAGAGGGTATAGTAGAGTTTTTTAATATATTTACCTGTAAATATAAATAAACAAGTGATAAAATACATGTAAAAGTAGGCTGGGCTATAAGCATAAGGTGATGATAATATGTAGGTACAATTATATTTTAAATTTATAACTTTTATCATTCACTATCTAATAAATTTTAACAATTTAAAAATCTAAATACCTATAAAAATAACAATTATGATAATTGTCTCTTTTTTTAGGTTCATCTACAGTGAAGTTTTATTTAAACATGTTAGCTTAGCCTATTTACGTCAAAAAAATTTAAAAAACTTTAAAATTAACTATTATGACAATTGTCATTTATCTAGGGTACATTTTCATTAAATTTTTAATTTATCATCTTAGCAATCTATATTTTTACCTATTTGTGTCAAAACAATTTAAAAAACTTTAAAAATAATGATTATGACAATTGTCACTTTTCTAGGGTACATCTTCACTGAAATTTTATTTAGCCATGTTGTTAGCAATACTTATTTTGCCTATTTACGTCAAAAAACTTTAAAAATAACTATTATGTCAATTGTCATTTATCTAGGGTACATCTTCATTAAATTTTTAATTTAACATAATAGCAATCTATATTTATGCACATTTGCGTCAAAAAACTTTAAAAATAACGATTATGACAATTGTCACTTTTTTAGGGTACATCTTCACTGAAGTTTTATTTAAATGTTTGCAATACCTATTTTTAGGCCAAAAAATTAAAAATATTGAAAATTGTCACTTTTTTAGGGTACATCTTCACTGAAGTTTTATTTAAATGTTTGCATTACCTATTTTAGCCTATTTAGGCTAAAAAAATTAAAAATATTCAAAATAAAAATAACGATTATAACAATTGTCATTAGAATTTATCTAGGGTATATCTTCATAATTTTTAATTTAACATGTTAGCAATCTATATTTATGCCCATTTGCGTAAAAACTTTAAAAATAACGATTATGACAATTGTCACTTTTTCAGGGAACATCTTCACTGAAGTTTTATTTAAATGTTTGCAATACTTACTTTAGCCTATTTAGCTAAAAGAAACATCTTTTCCCATTAGCGTCACAAAAAAATCTAATATGTTTAAAAATACCTACCTATTATGATAATTATCATTTTTCCAGGGAACATCTTCATTGAATTTATAATATAATATCTTTACAATATAAATTATATTATAACCCTTTTTTGTCCAAAAATTTCAAAAATCTTAAAAAATAACGCATATGACAATTGTCGCATTATTGACATAAATATTTATAAAAAAATTATTTAGAAAAATTTCCTCTTTTAATATACTTAAAATATAGATATATTTAAAAAAAAAATTATTTAGAAAAAGAAAAACAACCTCTTTTAATATTCTTAAAATATAGATATATTTATAAAAAAATTATTTAGAAAAAGCCACCTCTAATAATAAACTTAAAATATAGATATATTTATAAAACAATATAAAAAAAACTACCTCTAATAATAAACTTAAAATATAGATATATTTATAAAACAATATAAAAAAAACTATAGAAGATTTGACCTAAAAGATTATTTATTTATGATATAATTAAGAAATGAATAAAATTTTATGATAAAACAAAAGAATAAAATTTTATCAAAAAATCAGCAAAATATGTTTCAAAAATATTTTGTACTTCAAAAAATATTTTTTGCTTAAAATTTTTAGCTCAAAAATATTAATTTTTATTATTTAAAAAAATATTAATTTTTTATTTTTTAAATCCATTTTTATTATAATCAAAACATATTATTTGCATTAAATAAAATAAATTATTTCACTAAAAATAAATAAATAAAATTCTACATTATTATTTAAAATTTCTCATTTACATAAAAATAATTTTTGGCTCTAAATTTAAAATAAACTCAAGCTACCCTCTGAGCCGACTAAGCGAGCCGACTCATGCGGCTCCTTGATCGGCTTGAGTCGGAGCCGTTTTTTACGACTACGACTCGAGTCGCAAGTCGTAAGAACTCAACTTTTTAACAACACTAACCTTATGATTCCGCACATTTTAGAAAATATGATAGTTATATTACTACTATGTATTACAAATGCACCAAACCATAATGTGCAGGGAAAGGGATATTTAAAAATAATACCTTCCAAAAATCTAAACAGTGTACAGGTATATTTTTTGTTAATCTTATATAAAATAATTATATTATAGCTCCTGCCTGCTTAGAAATAACACAAGTTAAATCTATAGCCACACAAAGTAAAATATAATTCTAATTTTATAATTTATAAAAATTTATTTTATAGCTGATCCCATAAATGTAGATAGTATTCCAGCAGCCACTCAAAGTAAAATATAATTCTAACTTTATTTTAAAATTTTATCTGAAATATTTTCTCCAGCAACATTTGAAACCATAACCAACCAAGGTAAATTATATAATATATTACTAATATGCTATCTTGTTAACCTGGAAATTGTAATCTTAGCATCAAATAATATGATCCCTCCAACTAACCAAAGTTAATTTAAAATATGTCATCTTGTTAACTTGGAAATTTTATTCTTAGCATCAAATAATATGATCCCTCTAACCAACCAAAGTAAATTTAAAATATGCCATCTTATTAACTTGGAAATTTTATTCTTAGCATCAAATAATATGATCCCTCCAACTAACCAAAGTAAATTTAAAATATGTGATCTTGTTAACCTGGAAATTTTATTCTTAGCATCAAATAATATGATCCCTCCAACTAACCAAAGTAAATTTAAAATATGTCATCTTGTTAACCTGGAAATTTTATTCTTAGCATCAAATAATATGATCCCTCCAACTAACCAAAGTAAATTTAAAATATGTGATCTTGTTAACCTGGAAATTTTATTCTTAGCATCAAATAATATGATCCCTCCAACTAACCAAAGTAAATTTAAAATATGTCATCTTGTTAACCTGGAAATTTTATTCTTAGCATCAAATAATATGATCCCTCCAACCAACCAAAGTAAATTTAAAATATGCCATCTTATTAACTTGGAAATTTTATTCTTAGCATCAAATAATATGATCCCTCAAACCAACCAAAGTAAATTTAAAATATGCCATCTTATTAACTTGGAAATTTTATTCTTAGCATCAAATAATATGATCCCTCCAACCAACCAAAGTAAATTTAAAATATGCCATCTTATTAACTTGAAAATTTTATTCTTAGCATCAAATAATATGATCTCTCCAACTAACCAAAGTAAATTTAAAATATGCCATCTTATTAACTTGGAAATTTTATTCTTAGCATCAAATAATATGATCTCTCCAACTAACCAAAGTAAATTTAAAATATGCCATCTTGTTAACTTGGAAATTTTATTCTTAGCTTCAAATAATATGATCCCTCCAACCAACCAAAGTAAATTTAAAATATGCCATCTTGTTAACTTGGAAATTTTATTCTTAGCATCAAATAATATGATCCCTCCAACTAACCAAAGTAAATTTAAAATATGCTACTAATTTTATCTAGAAATTATCTTTTATAGGCCTTGAAGATTATTCGTATAAATTTATAAAATCTACATTTAATAATAATTTAATCTATTCAAATAATATTTATATCATCGCAATAGAGGATTTTTTTATAAATGTTATTTACAAAGTTGTAAGGGAAGGGGTATATTAGGTACTCAATTTATGATGATTAAGCAACATAATCATGATAAATGAATTAAAAAATTAAATAAAAATTTAAGCTTACATAAAATATATAAAAAGGTTATGCGCGAAAGGAAATTAGATTCCTTTGCGATGCGACATCCTAAAACCTTACCAACATTTTTGTCGGTAAAAACAATTATGGCACGCGTTAATCAATCGACGCGGCCATTCTTACCTCGCACAAATGATGATATAGCATTGCCTGAGGAACATAAAGTCACAATAACTAATAATAATTTTTTAATTTGTAATGATAATAATAAATTATTTATTTTTCTACTCGTATACTTTTATCTCGCCTTTGTTTGGCAGATAAAATATATCTAGATGGGACGTTTAATGCCGCCCCTAAACTATTTAAACAATTTTACACTACAAATATTATTATAAATAATACATTATTAATCTGTGCGTATATTCTTTTACCAGATAAATATAAAAATACATATATTCGAATGTTTTATTTATTAAAAAATTATTGCTTATCATTAGGTTTAATTTTTTCGCCACCAAGTGCAACAATAGATTTTGAAAATGGCGTATTTTTAGCCCTAAAGGAAATTTTTCCAAGAATTATTGTAAAGGGTTGCTATTTCCATTTCTGTCAATGCATCGTAAGACGCATTCAGGAATATCGACTGACCCAACTACACAGGCGAAATCCTTATATTCATAAATTTTTTCGTATTATAATGGCCATCCCATTTTTATTAGAAAGGGATGTGCCATCTATAATGATTGAGTTAACTAACCAAGCTCGATCTTTTCAATTAAGTTCTATTTTAGATTTTTTAAATTATTTTGAAAATATTTGGATTAACAGTAATGCCAAGTTCAAATATAAAATGTGGAACACATATGATTTTAGAGGGGGTGAGGACGAATAACCACGTTAAGGATTTAATCGTGCTTTAAAGGAATACGTTCCTTATCCTCACCCCAATATTTATTTATTTATTGATATCATTAAAAATATAGAACAAGATATGGATCTTATGTTGATGCAATTAGATGATGGGCGAAAAGTTACCGAAAGAAGAAAAAAATATATCTTATTAGATTATAAAATAAGAGAGATAATGATACTTTATTGTGGAAATTTATATAGTCCCATTGAATATTTGGATAAAATATCCAGATATTTATATTCTAAAAAATTTATTGGTGTTTAGCTCATTTTTTTATACTGGTGACTTTTTGCCCATCATCTAATCAATTTGTATTATATATTTTTTGAAATCATTAAAAAAATATCATTACTGTTGATCCAAGTTATTTTATTGTAGTTGGGTTTGGCTGAAATGGTATATGCCATAATCTATTTATGTTCCTCAACTATTGTTATATCATCATTTGTGGAGAGTTTTATATGGTAAAAGTTCATAATACTAATCATAATGTTCTTGAGATTGGAATGCCTGAATGGTACACTAATCCCTTCCTTTGTATATTTTTTTATCAGTTTGTATAACTTATATTTATTGTCGTTATATTTTTTTTATAAATTATTTCAATTCAAAATTATCATTTTTATTAATGTTTCGCGCACTTTTATAAATTTTTTTTTATTTAACCTGATATATGTAATTAAATTCTTATAAAATAAATTTTTAATATTGTCTACGCGAATTTTTAGAAAAATTTTATAATGAATAATAATTTAATGTTTTGTATTGTCAAATTATACACTTGAAATAAAAAGAAATTAATATGTATCCATAAGTTAATCAGATATTTAAAGGAATAATAGTAATAACCTACTGTAAAAATTTTATCAAAGGAGTTCTTAGTAAGAAAAATAATCAACGATCCCATTAATCTTTAGAAATAACAAAAAAAAATTAGTTAATCAGATATTTAAAGGAATAATAAGTATAAATACCTACTATAAAAATTTTATCAAAGGAGTTCTTAGTAAGAAAAAATAATCAACGATCCCATTAATCTTTAGAAATAACATAAAAAAATTAGTTAATCAGATATTTAAAGGAATAATAGTAATAACCTACTGTAAAAATTTTATCAAAGGAGTTCTTAGTAAGAAAAAATAATCAACGATCCCATTAATCATTAGAAATAACAAAAAAAAATGAGTTAATCAGATATTTAAAGGAATAATAAGTATATATACCTACTGTAAAAATTTTATTTATATAGTTCCTAGTAAAAAAAAATTACGATTTCATTAATCATTAGAAATAACAAAAAATATTAAAATATATGAGTAAATGTGATATTTATAGAAATAATAAATATCTATTTTCCATTTACATTCAAATTTATTTTCTACCCAGCTACAAGTCTCATGAAATTATATTAATATCACATTTTCCATTTACCCTCAAATTTATTTTCTACCCAGCTACAAGTCTCATGAAATTATATACAGAAAACGAGGTAAATAAATGACTCCTAGTTTACCATTCTAGGTTATTTTTTTAGAATAAATATATTTTTATTATTAAACAGATAAGTAATCTAATGCAGAAGAAAAATTTGTTATTATATTATTATAAAAAATATATATAATATTGAATAAATTCTATTTATTAAATATGTTAATAATATTAAAATATGTTAATAATATTAAAATATGCAATTTATATTATAAATAATAAATTATATTAATTATTATATTTTAATAAAATCTTATAATCTTACAATTTAATATATTTACATCATAATTTACATATTTTTCTTTATATCTAAATTAAATAAATATGTATTTTCAATATTATATTATATTATTAATTTATATAAATATTTAATACTAAAATTATATATTTTCTAATATTTATATTAATAAACTTTTCTTTATATCAAATTAAATAAATATTAAATTATTTTATTTTAAATAGTAAAATGTGTCTAATCTGTAAAGTTATAATTTTTTAATATTTTTAAATCTCTCGCTTCAAACTTATAGGGGCCATTTTAGCTTATTTGCTTTTTTAACATTATTTAATAATAGTAATTGCGGACTGTAACCAAATAACATTACATAAAGATTTTTGTGACTGATGCTTATCAATCAAATTAGAATGATAATAATTCTTAAAACAATTCGGATATAAATTAGAATTTTCGTAATATACCAGTACTAAATTTCTTATTTTATAAGCATAAAATCATGGGGTTCAACCTGGTTCATAGTTTTAACGGTGTGGTTTAGATTCGGGTAGAAAATGATTTAACGATTCAGGTTCGATAGGTTCCCAGGTTCGGTTTAGTTTGGATTATTTCAAAGTAATTAGTTATCTTGGAGATACAACTAGTTATAATACAAGTTACTTTAATATAATTATTATAAATTAAGAAAACTAGGAAATAAAAATTAACAGCACCTTCTTTCTTTCTTATTAATTGATTTAAAATTTTTTATTTTTTTTATAAATTCATAGAGTAATGTTGTTGAAGATCTTGATTTGGCTATAAAAAAAATGGCTAAATAAATATTTTAGCCAAACAAATATAACCTAAGTCTCGATATTAGGCAAATGATAAGGGAGAGACTTGGCCCTGTTTAGCAGAATTTCAAGTCCTAGAAAATATTTGTTTGGCTAAAATCTATTTAGTGATTTTTTAATAGTCAACTAAATTGAGGTTTTAAACAACAGCGTATAATGTGTAAACTAAAAAAATTTTAATTAGCCACTGGTTTAGGAAATCGTAAGTATCCGCTGTATGTAAGTACTGTGAGTAGAAGTTGGCATGCATATACTAATCAATATTGTGAGTAGAAGTTGACACGCCTATGAAAAAAATATTTTTAAGGGCCTGACCAGTTTGAAAATTTTATTAA